AGTCGGGGTCTCACCTTGTCACCCAGGCTGGAGAGCAGTGGCACCATCACGACACCGCAGCCTTGACCAGCTGGGTTCAGGCAATCCTTCCCTGTCAGCCTCCTGAGTAGCTGGGACTACAGGTTCCCACCACCACACCCAGCTAATATTTTGATTTTTTGTAGAGACGAGACATCATTATGTTGCCTAGGTTGGTCTTAATCTCCTGGATCCAAACAATCCTCTCACTTTGGTCTCTCAAAGTGCTGGGATTATGGGCATGAACCACCACATCTGACCTGAGTATGTGGATTTCTAGACTCCATTTCCAACTTGACTTTCCATCACTGCTTATCACGCACCTGTGCACTAACCAAACCAAGTGACTTGCTGTTCCCTGCATGCCCCTTGCCTGCCTGCCGCCCCCAGCCACGCCCCTCTACCCACACTATCCACTGGAGCCCAGCAGCCCACCACCTCCACTGAAACCCCCCTGCCCCGCGGGGTGGGCGTGGCCTCCCCCTCGGTGCCCTTTATTGGCCTATCATCACATTCTCTTATCTCTGTTATTTCTTTCTGTGGCCTATCCTTGTAATGAAATGTAAGTTTCATGTAGCCAAAGACTGAATCTTTCTTGGAGTTTCCCCTCCTTCACCCATAAGCAATACACAATACTTGTGTATTACATTGAGCTGAGTTTCCTAGGTGGCTATGGGAAAACCAGGTTCCTGTCTAACAGGGAGGCAGGAGTGTCTGTTGTCTAGAGCAAGGCACTCAGCCTGCTGGGTGCCCAGAAATAGCCCTTGTAGTAAGCCCCAGTCAAGACCCTTTTCTCTTTTCAGAGACTCATAAATCAGATGATCCTATACAATACCAAGCCAGGCCCACCGTCCTCATTGTTTAATTGAAACTTTGCATAGGAGGTGAACTGTATGCCTAGATACAGACCAGAGGGAAGATCTGAGAGAAGCAGACCCAGGTGGAAATGTGCATTGGAAGACAGGTCCCCAGTTCCGTGCAATAGAAATCGGTTCCAGCTGGGCTTAGTGGCTTGTCATCCCAGCACTTTGGGAGGCCGAGGCAGGAGAATCACTTGAGATCAGGAGTTCAAGACCAGCCTGGGCAACACAGCTTGACCTTGTCTCTACAAAAAATTAGCTGGGTGTAGTGGCATGTACCTATAGTCCCCGCCACTTGGGAGGCTGAGGCAGAAGGATTGCCTGAGACCAGGAGGTCGAGGCTGTGGTGAACTTGTGATGGTGTCGCTGCACTCCAGCCTGGAAAGCAGAGTGAGACCTTGACTCAAAAACAAACAAACAAAAAACCAGGTTCCTGGTGAACTGCAGCTGGGATGGGGAGGGCTGGCGTGTGAAAAGGAGGATGGAAGCCAGACTCGGTGGCTCAGCCTGTAATCCCGTGCCTTTGGGAGGCTGAAGTGAGTGGATTGCCTGAGCCTGCGGGTTCGAGACCCACCTGGGCAACTTGGCGAGACCTCATCTCTACAATAAATAAAAAATTAGCCGGGTGTGGTAGCGCGTGTCTGTAGTTCCGGCTACTTGGAAGGCTGAGGCGGAAGGATCACTGGAGCCCAACAGGTCAAGGCTGCGGTGGCCGGGAGCGGCCACTGCACTCCAGTCTGGGTGACGGAGTGAGACTCCAACTCAAAAAAAGAAAAGAAAAGGAGGATAGAGAAGGGTGTGGCAGGTCGAAACTGCTCATCTGAGCTTTGCAGAGCCTCTGAGAGATCAGTCAGTAGGGAGCGGCTCCTTTCCTAAACACGGTTTCTGAAAGGCAAAATAGATAGTAGCTCCTCACAACAACTCATAAATACTTACCTCCTGATGGCCCTTCAATCATGGAAGACTTGCTGTGTGGAATCTTGTGGCCACCCTAGGATTGTGTCCCAGCAATCTTGCATGTACATGAACCGGGTCCCATGCGGACCTGAACTGAAATGATCTGTGTACATCCCATCCTGGTCACTTCCATCCTTTCATCAGTAATATTCCCCAAGTGTCCACCAGGTGAGCACACTGTGACACTTTGCTTGGAGGGAAACATCAGCACTTCAAGCATTTTTGTTGCATTTCATGGTAATTCTTACCTCCGTTATCTTACCCAGCCAGGCCCTGATGCTTTTTGCTAATTTCCTGAGCACCACAGGCATGTGTGCTTTAAGAACTATTATTCTGGCCAGGTGCAGTGGCTCATGCCTGTAATCGCAGCACTTTGGGTGGCTGAGGTGAGATCATTGCTCGAGTCCAGGGCTTCGAGACCAGCCTGAACAACTTGGGGAGACCTCATCTCTACAATATCAAAAAATTAGCCAGGCATCGTGGCATACACCTATGGTTCTGGCTAATTGAAAGGCTGAGGCAGAAGGGTCACCTGAGCCCAGCAGGTCCATACTGTGGTGGCCGTGAGCATGCCACTGCACTCCAGCGTAGGCAACAGAGTGAGACTTCTAGTCAAAAACAAATAAATAAATAACTATTATTCCGTACTGTGGCGAAAAGTTGTGTCTCCCCCTAGCCTCAGAGATGGCTCCTCAGACTAAGAGGTCTGCCTGGCACGCCTGAAAACTCTGCTAACCTGCTTTGCTCTAGAGTTTGGAGGATGACATTTTTGGTAATACTCTATTGCCTTGACATTGCTGGAAGCTTCCACTGATTGTGTTTCCTGATGTGTTTCACAATGATCCCCATCCTTCACTGACAGGGTCTGTCTGTCCCTCCACAGGCACAAAGGGTACACAAGAAGTTTCCGAAACCCTGCAGAACGCACTACCCCTCCGAGAAGAAACGTCATTCCATTCCTTCCCCGAGCACCTCAGCGCCGAGCCACATGCCTGGCAGCAGCCAGCAGTCCCAGTTCAACAGTTCACGCCTGGGGCCTGGCCAGGTGGGCCTGCCGACTGGGCACCAGCAGGAACTTGCTGGGCGAACCAGCAGCACCCCCACCCATCCCTGGTCTTTCCAGAGAAGCAAGTCCTTGTTCTGTTTGCCAACCGGAGATGCCTCCCCAACCTCCTTAGCTGAACCGCAGTGGTTTTCAAACACAGGTGCCCCAGGGCACAGGGCATTGGAGTGGAGGCACAGCCACCTCCTCTCCATCGATGACTTAGAGGGAGCCCAGGAGACGGACGTGGACACGGGACTGCGGCTGTCCTCCTCAGACCTGTCTGTGGTCTCTGCGTACTCTGCACCCAGCAGGTTCTGCAGCACGGTGGAAACGCCCCTCCCTTCCGAAAGCTGCGGCAGGCGCTGGGAAACTCACAAGGATTCCAGGGAAGGACCTCTGCCTGCTGCCAGCGGGACAGCCGCGGAGGCGTCCTGGGCTTCCCTCTCTTTCTTCACCAGAGGGTCTTCCAGCTCCTCGGCCATGGCTGGTGCTGCTCCCCCATCTCCTGGTGCCTCCTCCCCCACAGACTCCTCCCCACAGGCCCCTCATGCACCCAAAGTCGAGCAGACTGGCAGAGACGTGCCACCACCCCCAGGGTCAGCTGGACCTGGGGATAATGACATGGAGGAATTCTACATCTGAGTCCCTCCTCTTGGTCTCTGATCACACCAGCTCAGACATGCAGACTGGGGCCTGCTTTCCCTGCACCAGCGTTCTTAATTATCTTTTCCCAGGATCATTAGCACATCTGCCCCCTAGCCCTTCCTAGCTGAGAGCTGGTATATTTCTAGGGGTTCAGTGGAAAAATATCGACCTTTTTTTGCAAATAAATTCTCAACAAACTTAAGTTGTAAAATATTTTTTTTTGGAATATTCTTCATTTGAGATATGGTTGAGTGGGCTTATACAGTTTAAATGCTTTGTATAATCATTTGAAATGAAAAAGAAAGCCTAGTCATCCAGAGCCTATTTGGCAATTTTTCATGGTGTGAAAGAAAAACAAGGCCAAAATATTGAATGTGGGACAGATCTAAGTGACTTGTATGAGAGATTAGTGCCCAGGAACATAAAACACACCTTGCTGAATTCTTCATAGACACTGACATTACCAGGGAACTTTTAAGTACTGCTTATAATAGGAAGAGTCAGCTTAATAAGTCAGTTGTAAACATATATCAGACTATAGGTAATTTTTCACTTTGAAGTCACACCGCCTCTGAAAATCTGAATTTACACAAAAGTGGTTCATGTGATTTTTAAGGATTTAGCATGAGTAACAGACTCGTGGTGCATTTAAAATAGAATCTGAGTTCCAAAAGCTAGTTTTGCATACAGCTTTTCAGTAACATATTCACTGGAACAGATGAGACCACCCCACTACCTGAATGTATTTGGATCACTAAGGAAGAATTATTTGTCGGAGTTACAGAATTAAAAACTGTTAGCCATGATGGGTAGGGAGTCTTAAGAGTCCTCGGCTTTGTAAACCACAATCTAGGGGCTAGACAAACATACATGCATATATATATATATTACAGGAGCCAAAGTTTATTCTGCTTTCTCCAGTGAACACGCATGGTCACACATCCCATGTTCATTTTTAAATAATTTGGAACATTTCAGCTGGCATTCTGATTGTACAGAAAAATGTCTTTTTCCCCCAACTGGGAAACTTTACATGAAACGCTCTCCTGAACAAGCCCCAGAGAATGGCGAGCCTCATGTGACTGCCTTGGGAGCTTTAATTAATGCCAGAGCTGGGACCTGATGACCTTGGCTTTTCCTGCCTGTTGGCTGCTTCTGTCACAATGAGAATGGTATTTGAATCTCACCCCCGCCCACCCCAGTACGGGTATGTTTACAACTCCAACCTCGGTGATGCCAAGTGCTGGCCTTGGGGCAATGCCAAGAGGTTCCTGGAGACTGTTTACCACTGGGGAAGGAGAGCGTGGGTTTACCTTGCCCATTTTCCAGTATGCCCCTGGCCTAAATTAAGGTGCAGGGTTCTTCTCTCTGGAAGTACCCACACCAGCCCAGATGCAGCTTCAGAATTCTTTCTAACACAGCTCTCCTGGCAGCCGTTACCAACTGTCAGCCTTGAGCCAAAGCCTTGTGTCTTTGCTGTCCTTGTCACAAGAGCCTTGGGTCCCACCCCAAACAGTTGCAATATTCTACTCTAAATAAATAAAATGACAGTCTCTTCTAATTCTGGACCAGGAGTAAGCAAACTTTTTCTGAAAATGGCTAGATAACTATTTTAGGCTTTGCCAGTCTTATGGTGTCTGTTTACTCGACTCTGCTGTTATAGCATGAAAGCAGTCAGATAAAATGTAAGTGAGTGGGAGCGGCTGAGTTCCAATAAAACTTTATTTACAAGAGCAGCTGGCGGGCCAGATTTGGGTCTCAGCCTGGCAACTCTTGAGCGAGGCTGCTGCCTGAGGCTGATTCAATATCCCAGCCCCAGTCAACAACCCAAAATCTAAGTCTTTGGCCCACTACTGCCGTGGTGTGTCATGCAAAGAAAATGGGCTACTTGAGTCAGGCCACTGACTACAGAACCACAGGACCCAGAGCAGGAAGGGGCTTCTTCCTGCAGAGCTGATTCTTAGAAAGCCAATAGCCCTCCAACTCCTGCCCAGAAAGGTGACTGATCCTCAGTCGCTGATGATGAAAAGCAACATGCTAACATTAGAGAGAAAGAGAAAAATAATTCAGAGGTGATGATACAGCTGCCCGTGAACAGGGAACAAATTAGCTCATCAGTAGCAAAACCAGACCACCAACCTCAGTGATCTCAAAAATACCAAAGACACCATTTGAAAGTAGGAGATGTGAAATGCCCCCCATAACTAGGGGGAGATGGGAAGGGAAGCCCACTGTAGCCCTCATTCAGGTGCTCCTCAAAAACTCAAAGGAAGTGGCTGCCACTCTGTGCAACAAGAGTCACAGGATCACATTTACCAAGACTTCACTTCCATTTCTGGTTGTTCCACCAGCATCTTCCTCATCCAGGAGGGCTCCCAATGCTTTTTGGGTCCTGACTCTTTTGGAGTATTATCCTTGTAGGTATCCTGTAGGTGCTCAATAAATGTGTTCAATTAAAAAACATGGAAGTTGGCTCATAAATTATTTATCTCCCAGAATAGGCTCTGTGATGTAAGAAGCCTAGTTTTTTGTCACTGAATGGAACCCTATGTCTCATCTCCTTGGCCTTGTATCCCCTGCCCCCGCATTGCCCAGGGAAGGAGGTATGTTAGTAAGTGTCCCCGTCTTGTTATGTGCCATCTCTTATCTGCCTCTTTTCCAAGTAAGACCCCCTAGATTACTGCTCATGGACCCGCCTTGGCCTACAGTAAACACCACCTAGTGTCTGCTTTAAGAAGCAAATGTTTCTGGATACAGCTGGAGACCAACATATTAAGTGAACTATTACAGAAACAAAGAACTGAATACTGCGTGTTCTCACTCATAAGCAGGCCCTGATCACTAGTCATAGGAACACAAGGGTGGGTATGGCAGACACTGGGCACTGCTGGGGGGCCTGGGGGGACACGTAGCAACACACTGGGTACCAGTTCCTCTATCATGAGGAGAGAGGGCCAGCTAGAAAACCAAACTTCACCTGTATGCAACTGACCTATCTAGTAAATCCTCGCATGTACCCCACAACTCTAAAACAAACAATAAACAAATAATAAAAATAAAATTGTTATTATATGTTTTAAAGAAAGCAAATGTTTCTCCATCTCTCCCCAACTGACCTGTCAAGTCCTACAGAGATCGTCTTGGGTCATCTCAAGTGGTTAAAATGAGCATTAGAGGGAACAGTGGGGACAGAGGGGGAGCTACCACAGAGGATTTTGTGACATTGGAGATGTTGACGTGTGCTACTCCTTGAGCCCCTGGGCCTGAGGTCAAGGGGGTTGGTCACAACAGAGTGCATAGGACATCTGGTACACTCCCAGCTGAGACCAGATGCTTACTTTTGTTGGGATGAACCTTGAGCTCCTAGCTGGCATCTTCAGCCACAGGTAAATCAGGAGGAATGCAGGTATCTTTCTATTCCCCTACTTTCTGTAGATGAACAGATTCTCCAGTCTCCCAACTAAGAAGCACCTGAATAGAGTCATAGAATTCTTGCAAAAGATCAAGAGTTTATTTGTTTGTTGTTTGTTTGTTTGTTTGTTTGTTTGAGTCAGGGTGGAGTGCAGTGGCACAATCATGGCTCACTGCAGCCTTGACTTCCTGAGCTCAGGAGACCTTCCCACCTCAGACTCCTGAGTAGCTAGGAGTACAAGCGTGCACCAGCCCACCCAGATAACTCTTTTTATCTTTTATAGAGATGAATTCTCATTGCATTGCCTAGGCTGGTCTCAAATTCCTGGACTCAAACAATCCTCTCACCTCAGCCTTTCAAAGTGCTGGGATTACATGTATGAGCCACCACTCCTAGCCACAATATATATACGTGTATATATATATATGTGTGTGTATATATATATATACGTATATATATGTGTGTATATATATATATATATATATATTCTTTCTTTCTTTCTTGAGTTGTAGTCTCATTCTTGTCACCTAGGTTGGAGTGCAGTGGTATGCTCACAGCCACCCCAGCATCAACTTGCTGGGGCTCCAGCGATATTTCCACCTCAGCCTTCCAAGTAGTCAGAACTACAGGCACATGTTATCATGCCCAACTAATTTTTTATTTGTTGTAGAGACGAGATGACTCAGCCTGCAATCCCAACACTTTGGGAGGCCGAAGTGAGTGGAATGCCTGAGCCTGCAGGTTCAAGACCAGCCCGGGCACAAAATGTTTTTAAGAGCAAATAAAACCAACTCCGAAGAGCTTCCCCATCTCCTCTGCCCTCAGAACAGTATCAATGGCCAGTTCTGGCCAGGGACCCTTAGGTCCAAATTTCAGGAGAGCCATAGGAATAACTGAACAGTGACCTTCTCCTTCTCTCCCCCAGGACACATTGCTCCACGTGCCAGATCTGGACATAAATACCCCTCATTGTTTGCAGTGTTCTGCTTCTCTTTCATTCTCTGGAAATGCAATTGATCAGATACTGCAGAAGCTGGAGAAAACAATATGAGAAGTCGACATGAATAAAATGGATCATCGAGGGAAACACCTTTGTCACAATTATAATAAATGGATTCACAAAAGGCCAAGAACCTGAATTTAAAGAGTTTATGTAAGTACACTCTTCCAACTTTTACTGAAGGCTTTTTTCTAAGCACAGATGTCTAGTCACAAAATGACTTTAAATGATAGAGTGGCTGGGCATGATGGTTCAAGCCTACAATCCCAGCATTTTGAGAGGAAAAAGTGGGAGAATCGCTTGAGTCTGGGAGTTCAACACTAACCCCGTCACTATTTAAAATATATCTATATGGTTTCTCTAAATGAATGATGGAGCAAACATGAACAGTAATGTCAGCATACATTCCTGTTTTAGAAGTAGTGATGACGACGGCCCAGTGATGTGCTCTCTATGAATAGCCATCTCAGACAGAAGTCACTAGAACACTTGATGAAGGTGAAAAGTCCCCTTCTGTGCCCTGCGACACCCTCCCTGGACTCTCCATTGGTGAGGAGGTCTCTCCTCCCATTGTCCAGGGTGGTGTAGAAATATGGAACTGGCTCCATCACCCCGACTGCCCTGTTCTGGTTAGTAGTGGTCCCCAATCCCCATTTGAAACATTTGAAATATTGATCCTTTGAGTTGAGCATCTGAAAGAGTCCACCCTGGCTCCCTTAGGTCAGCTTTACTTGGTCCCTAGAACTAAACCCAGAGCATTTTGGATTGGAGCCACTGTGAATGTGT